TCATCAATAATGCCAAACACCCGGTCTTCGAGGCGGCCAAGAGTTTCTTTCAGACGGGTTTCACTGTCAAGACTTTCCTATTGTTTCTGTTCCCACAATTAGCCCATTATCTGGACATTCATTTCTTTAACGAAGAGAGTCAGCAAACGATCGCCAATTTTATCAAACAAGTGATTAACGAGAGAATTGCCAACAATTTTGAAGTCAAAGATCTTTTGCAATTGTCTATAAATGCCAGCGTTTTCTCTCCCAAAGTTACAACGAATTCATTTGAAAGTAAATAGTTTTAAAAACTAATATTTGAAGTAATAGTCATATAATAGTTATATTAATTTGAATAGAATTGAGCGAGGAAGAACTTCTAGCACAAAGTATCAATTTTATGGCCGCCGGTTACGACACGACAGCCACACAAATATCATTTATAACTCAATTTTTAGCACTAAATCCCAACTTTCAGACAAAACTCGTGAATGAAATAAACAGTTATTTCGGCGATCAGTCAGAAGTCGACTACGAGTCAGTCATGAAAATGCCTTATTTGGACGCTTTCTTCAAAGAAATCATGAGATTTAACTGTTCGGTCAACAGGTAATCAAAATAATGTATATTTATTTAAAACACAATTAACTAGAATTTGAATATAATTATCCAGAATAGACAGAATTGCCGAAAATGATTGTGTGCTAAATGGCATATCTATACCGAAGGGCACATCCATTATAATCCCCGTTTGGGCCCTACATCTGGACGCCGACCACTACGACGAGCCCAATGTCTTCAAACCGGAAAGATTTTTGCCTCAAAACGAGTCCCGAATTAAAGGCTATACTTATCTTCCGTTCGCTTCGGGGCCCAGAAATTGCATCGGAAGAAAGTTTGCCGAAATGGAGATCAAATACTTTATGGTTAAAATTTTACCACTCTTTGAGTTCAAAGCGTGCGATCAAACCCGGGTTAGTCTGTCTATCATTTAGTCTATTGACAATGTTTTTGTCAATTATTTTTGTATGTATTTTGTTTGCACAGAATCTCGATTTCTATAAACTGATCCAAACGTGTACTATGAAGGCGATGGTGGTTGAGGTTAGGCTAAGAGACAGCCAATAATTTACTGATTATAATATTGTATATAATTTAATTAAAATTACTTATTGATATCATTTTTTGTTTAGTAATTCATTAAAATAAAACTCTTTTATTCATACAATTTAGAAGAAATAAATAGAAATAAAGTAGAAAATGAGCACATATTTTCTTTGTTAAACTAAATGTAAATAAAAATAGCATTTTATTATTTTATGTTTAAAATCTCTTTAATTAAATAAATGTCTTAAAACAGTGATAATATTAATTTATTAATAAATAGTGAGAAAAAGGTATAGACTTTTGATAAGTATATTGTGAATGAGTTGTTCAAAGTGGAGGAATGCTATCAAATATCTCGTTGGAAGCGCTGAGCGGAGACTTTGGCAGTGATTTGAGTTTGACTGAAGTGAACACATCCTTATATCGTTTGAGCAAATTATCGCATTTGTCGTTATTGTCCTGATAATCGCCGCACAGGTATTGCAATATATCATACATAGTCTCAGTCACGTAACCGTCCAGTTCTGTCTGTGCCTTCTTATTGCACGGCTCGGCGTCGTTAGTCTTAGCCCAGGCCTCGTTCACACAGTCGTGAAATCTGTGGTACGAACTAAACACACAATAAAAAACATTTGCATTTTGTTTAATAAGCAAAACAATGTCAATCATACCAACAAATCAATGGTATTAAGTGTCTATCATTTTTGATGATGGTTTTCTTGGCCCGGTTAACTTGCTCAGTTTCAGTGGTGTATCTATCGTAGCACTGAACAGTGTCTGGTTTGGCTAAGTTGGCGCACTTCCCGGCCTTTATAAATATACTTCTTGTGGTCTCCGATCGACACCTCTTTGTGAACACCTTTTTAATAGAAAACATGAAGAGATTCGTTACGTGACGACTGGTCTCCACTTCTCTGTTGGTCATACAGGATTTGGTATAGTTTTTACCCCAATTAGCCATTTCTATGTCAGCCCTGTATTTATATTAAGCATAATTAAATATTAATAATGGTTTGCAAAATACAATACAGAATGTCATAATTTGTTTTATGAAAACTATTTGCAATCATATGAATAGTTGTGTACTGACCGACAATAGTCGTGGACTTCCTTTTCGTTCGGTAATTTCCTATTGATGTCTCCGAAGGCAACCATTTTCAAGACGTGTTCATCCAATTTGTCAATTGATCCCCGATTACAAGGAATATCAGCGGAATCGCTGATTGCCAACAAAAATGCCAAAACATACAAAACTATTTTATACATTATATTCAACGTGTGTTTTGTTAACTTATTTGTTGCTAAAATTGTAAATAGTATCTAACCTTTGCCTAAATAAATGTAAGCCTTTTTATATTAAAAGTTCATCAGATGTTTTCAAAGTGACAAAAACTTGAATTTAATACCCGTTTCGAGAGATCAGGACAACTGTTTCCGACATTCTTCTGGTCATAAAAAACTTGTTCCTAAAATTAAATATGATTTTTTAAATTTGGTTTAAAGTTATATAACATTCAAAACAAAATTTAGATTAACTTAATGTGTTTTAATAGAAAATTATAATTTGAGATTAGTTAAGCCATGAATTAATTGATGCTTTACATTGATATACAGTGTGTTTCTCAATAAAGTCTTGACAAAACTCGTCATTTAATGATAAGACAAAATTAAATTTTAGTCTTACTATTGTTTCTCAATACAACTACATGTTAATTCAATGAGAAGGCATTTATTATATCCAATATAAATAATTGCAAATTGTTTGACATCTCATTTAATTTCAGACGAATTAACAAAACAATTAAAAAATTACCAGTTTAATATAATTTTGTTTATCTGTTTTTCTCAAAACGGATTTTTATAAAAGTAATTAAAACTTTATTAATAGTATTCAGTGTCCAAAATGTCATCTCAAAAGTGTATTCCATTAACACTTGGATTAAAACACATAAATTTACTTCATATCAATCATGTGTATAACTTGGAGAAAATCTATGCCAAAACCTGTGCCCAAACCACAGACCAGACTTGTATTGAAGACAGGTTTGCAATCACTCGACATAATATTCAAAATAACTTTTCAGATAATGATAGCTATGGCTGTAATGGAAACTTTTGTCCCATTCATGAGCGTCAAGACTACGACAATTATTTTATCAAAACTAATAATTGCTAAATTGTTTTAAAAAATACTTTTTATATTATAGTAAATGACATTTACTAAATGTATTAATCGATGTCGTATTAAATTACAATTGTATTTTATTTACACAAAAAAATAAAACAATTTTCTTTAAAACAACTTAAACTAACTTTACTTAAAAAGTTACGAAATAAACATTACAAAGTAATAATCATTTCATTCCGTGGCTTCAGCGACTTCATTCAAAATGATATTAAAAATACTGGACATCACTTTAAACAATGCATTCTTTCGGTCGCACTTCTTATGGTAAATACAATTTCCCTTTTCATTCCTCATGTGGCCATTGATGCAGAAGCAGCCGCCTTCGCATTTGGTGCAGTCCAGCGCCCGACCCAACGTGTTCTTCACGTTAGGGCACATCTCTTTGCACCGATCGGAGCACTGCTCGTACACTTCGCCGGCCGGACACTGTTTGGCCACCACTTCGGGCGGTTTGGGGACCAACTCTTCGCAACTCTTGATATCAATACACTGTCCGCCGGAGTTGCGGAGTCGGGCGCCGCGACAGAAACACCCGGAGTCACAAGTGATGGGACACGAGATCGGGTCGTCTCGTTTGGAGCACTGCTCGAGACAACGGGACGAACAGTTGTCGTATATCTCGTTCTCGGGGCAAGTGATGGGAGGGTCGGGCCGTCGTTGTGCGGGTTTGGGGTCCTCTTCGCAATTGGCGGGCAAAACGCAATTCAAAAACTTATTCAAATAATAGCCTTCTCTGCAGAAACAGCCGATGTTTAGCCGCCATTTCGGACAATCGACCATCACTTCAGACACTAATTCTGTGCAGAATTTGCCGCAATTTGTCCCTGCTACTTTCCATTCTGTGTTCTCCTTGTTATTGCAAAAAAGTGACCCTATTATGTAATTAAAGCAAAATTATTATTAATATTTATATTATTTTAAGTAATTTATATTACGTTTATGTGTGAAATGTCTTGAGGCTGTTTTGCTGGTAAGACATATTGTAATGATTAGCAATATTTGCAAATATATACATGAATTCATTGTTCATTGAATGGAAAATTAATATTTTAATTATAATAACAAAACTTAATTTTTGCAGTTGTGTTGAGTTTACTTTACAACCATTTTCTTTCATTTGATTTGAAATTCAATATAAAGTTAATTAAGATTAAAAACTTTATATTTAATTAATTTTTTAATGTTATTATAAAACCATTGATAGTTAGATGTTTGTGAGCTCGATTTTATTTATAATATACTTATAAATTATAATGTAAAATGGGCCTTTAATTTATATTATAATTAAATAAGTGGTCAATTATTTCTAAATAATTATTGTTTTCATTGAATTGCTCTTACTCAATCAAAGAATATACCTTTATATTTCAATACAATATATCTATACATTATATTAGATTATTGCTAAATTCTTACGAGAGAGAGAGAGAGAGAGAGAGAGAGAGAGAG